ATGGAATGCATAAAGATCAACACTGTACACATTGGTGAGTTAAAATGACTGATATTGGTCATTTTGATTGGATGATCCAATGATCTACTTTGCCAGTAACTACAAGTTAAAAAAGAACGGCATCATATCAACCATCAGAAAGAACATTTCCAGATCTATTGTGATGTGCAATGCTGTTAGTGAAAGCATGATCTTGATACACTTACAAGAGGGACCAGTCAATAAGATTTTTTATTCAAATTTACACACCAACCACTAATATCAAAGGAGAAATTGAAGATATTTTAAAACCAAATTCTGTAGTCTGAAATTGGATTGAACATGCAAACAAGACGCACTTGTATCTGATATGATTTAAATGTGAAATATGGAAACAAAGAAGGATCAGTTGTTGGAAGAGATGAAAACTGCTGTCAGAAGAGACACTTAACAAATCTTAAAGGTAGACTAGCTAAAAAATATAGAGAAAATGAGCTGAACAGAGGAGCTGAGCTAAAGATTTCAGAGTAGCTAGAGAAGACAAAGTTAAGTATTATAATGAAATACAATAAAATAAGTCCAAAGCTTTGGACTTAGAAAATTGAAGAGAGAAGAGCACGCTTGGAATTTCTCAAGCAGAAAGAATCTTGCCATATCGATGGATTCCATGGGCCAAGAAATTGAACGAAATGTCAAAAGAAGAGGGAAGGAATACAGAGTCATTTTATCAAAAAGAAACGGTCCACAGTAACCCCTTCAGAAGAAATACCGATGGAAGAAGCAGTCAAGGCATGAAATGACAAATTGCATTTGGGGAAAGCTCTTCAAATGTTAAAAATCAAGAACTTCAGTTTGGGAGTTAAGGTACTCCAAATCAAGCGCTTGCATTACCATTGGTCTCATATGCATGTGAAATTTGGGCAACGAAAAAGAAAGACCAGAGAAGAGTTGGTACGTCTGCATGATGGTGTCAGTGAGCGATATTTAATATACCACAGGCGGCCGGAAGAACACACAAATTTGTATTGGACAGCACAGAGTGAAAACGCTCCTGCGAAGCTAAGGTGGTGAGGGTGGCCACATGTACGTTGCACTGCACGTCATCAGAAGGGACAAGTCTTTGGAGAAGGACATCATGCTTGGTAAATTAGATGGTCCATCAAAACGAGGAGGAAATGGGTTGCCCCAGGAGAGGAGGTGCAACACTAGGCTCAAACACAGTAAGTAGTATGTGGCTGGTGCAATTGGCCAGCGTTTGTGCCGTTGTCCCTAGTGTGTGAGTTGGCACCAACACAACAGGAGCTAAGAACCATATTAAAAAAGTGTTTACTTTCTTTCCATTTCAAGAACTTGTCATTTCTTTCAATGTATCCAAGTTGCTAGTCTTTTCTTTTCAAGTATCCTTTGATACAGAGCATATGTTTTTCTGTTCCCTCTTCATGTTGCCTGTCATCAAGTCAATAGCCCAAGTGGTCTAATAAAGCATGAACGTTTTGAGAGTACCTACTATATTTTTAACACTCTGTTGTTTATTGAAATTACAAATCTACACGAATAAATAAAAGGATGGACACCCTGTCCTTAAAGTGTTCGGTTCAATAATCAAGGTTAAAACATACATGTATGATTATAACACAACAGATAAATGTCACATAAAAATGCATTTAGAAATCTGTTTGTAGAACCTCATTTCATAAGCTTGCTTCCTCACTTCCTTGCATAAAAACAAGGCTATTGGGCAAACATTTGTTGAGTGTCTACAGGAGCCTCCGTGCGATATCCAGGGCAACCAGTAGAGGCATGTGCTTGTACTACGTGCCACTTGTACACATGCAACCAACCAGCCACCGGAAGACCATCAAGACACTCCTGCTGTTCTAGCGCGTTGGCCGTTGGTACAAATAGCCCAACGGTTGAGCACTGCAAAAAATAATCATAATCATTATGATTATCCATCATAAATAATCGTTGGTGAAAGCTAAATAATTCAAATGAAGGCAGTTGGATCTACTCATTATTCTTTAGATATTTTACTTAGCTGGCTGTGTTCTTAACCTCAATGATGTTTCAATTATTTTTCTTTAATGATTTTTCAAACTAAATCTATTTTTGAATTTTTATCTTACCCAATAATTTCCGAGTGTCTTATAATAGGCAAGTGCTGTTTTTCACTGGTTTGATAAGCCGTGGTAGGGAAAACAAAAATAAACGTCTGAAAACTCATGTCAGGCAGTGTTTGAAAAAGAAAGAAAGAAAAAGGCACTTTAAAACCACCACTCTTTTCTTGGGAGAAAGATGAGGCTTCTGACGCTCATGAAGCTGTAGGGCCTTGCGAACCAACAGGGGCAGTTCTTCTCTGGCTAGAAGTCTAGTCTAAAAAATATACTATCACCCTAGTAATATCTATATAATTTCAAAATATCTTCAGGTGATATTTTCTCCAGATTTTGTGACATTAATATAGCCTCCCTGGCCTCTATCAAGATATATTTCGAGTTTTCTCCAGCGAAAAAATGCGAGTTGTTTATTCTCATTTCCTACTTTGTCTCTCCCAAACACGTGCGTGTATAATAAGGTGGTGTGAATCCTTGTGATACAGCCCTCAACACAGGTGGGATGAATACCAAATGAGTGGCAAGAAAGGTCATGAAAAAAAAAGTGAAACAGACAATCAAGAACCTTCTGTTATATTATCAAGAGGTAGGCAAGGGAGTCCTGGTGGTGTAGTGGTTGTGAGTTGAGCTGCAATCCACGTGGTCAGCAGTTCAAAACCACCAGCAGCTCAGCGTAAGAAAGACTGGGATTTGTACTCCTGCAAACAGTTGCAGTCTTGTAACCTCACAGGGGGGTCACTATGAGTCAGCATTGACTCAATGGCACTCAGTGAGTGAGGCAGGAAAGTGCGATAAATTAATGTTACCTACCCACTACCAGAGAGCTGATTCATCTCTGAGTGACCCTCTGCAGAGTTTCGTTATGGGTGTATACAGCATCATCTTTCTCCTGTGGAGCAGCTACTGGGTTTGAAACACAGACCTTTCAGTTTGCACAATTTATTGCCCAATCCACAGTGCCACCAGCCCCCCCCCCCCCATGAGAGGTTCATCAAGCTGTCTACGCCCATAAAGACTTTCAGTCTTAGAAAACATATATGAATCGGAATCAACTTGATCAAAAACTCAAACTCCCTGTCATGGAGTTAATTCTGACTTGTGGGGGCCCTGTGGAACAGAGTAGAACTGCCCTGGTGGGTTTCCAAGACGGTAAATTTTGGGGGGAATAGAAAAGCTACAGTGTTTTTCAGGGGAATATCCAGGGGAATATCCATGAACCATACTAACTTATACTATGGACCCTATAGTTTGTCAAGGGTTTTCATATCTAAATAATAGTAGCGTTGTATACTATATAGACTACCAAAAGGTTTCAGGTAGTAAATCAAAGACATTCTCTGGGTAGTGCAAATGGTTGAGCACCGGGATGGTAATCTAAGGTTGGTCATTTGAAACAACCTTTGGGTAGCTTGGAACAATTACCTGGCTATGTACTGCTGAAAACTAGGCATTGAAAAACCTATGGCGCTCATTTCTCTTTGAAACCATGGGATCGTCATCGCTTGGAATCCACTCAGTGACAACTGTTGTGGTAGTGGATTCTCGTGTGGGAGTGGTTGGCACTTTCCCCCACCCCAACCCCTGCTGTAATAAGCCAATTAGGCTTTACAGACCATACAGGCTCTATAGCAACCCCGACCTTCTAGGGTCAAAGCCGCCAGACACAATATTCAAAAGTGGGCCAGATGTGAGCTGCAGGCTTTTTCAATATCACCTTCTTTTGTCTAGAATTTCCTTCGATAGAGAAAGAACCTGAGGATTACATGGTTTTCTCAAGCTCCTTAAGAAAATGGTGCCATTTGGGGCTTTATACATGCTCTGTATTTACACGTTAACCCAGTCATCACAAACTATTACAAACCTCTGTGAGGAGGATACTGAATCAATGTTGGTTTCACAGCTTGAAAGAGCTCCACTCTTTAGTTGTTCCAAACAAGATGTTTTCTCCGCAAATAATGATAGAAATTCACAAAATGATCTAGTAGAGATGATCTAATAGAAGTACAAAAGATAAGTTAGCTCTCCAAAATTTTTTTTCTTTTTTTTTAAAACATTTTATTAGGGGCTCATACAACTCTTATCACAATCCATACACACATCAATTGTGTAAAGTGCATTTGTACTTCATTCTCA